CTGAAGGCAAATTTCAAGCCTTGACTGTCTGCACAGATCCTGCAAAGGTAATGGATAGGGTATTCCTTTGCAAATGCCGCCATCTTGTGGACAGACTCAGAAGTGCAGCCAGACATCACCTGGGAGGGGAGGTGCCTTAGAGACCAGGCCTGATTCCTGAGCTCCAAGCAAACAGGGGAAAGCGAGGAGGCAGGGCCTGAAGAGAGCGAGCCACCGGTGTCCTTTGAACATTCTTGATGAGCTGTAAGCAGACAGAATGGCAAGAGCAAAGGCTCAGACGCAGAAAAATCTCATGGCAAGTGGGATGAGTGAGGAATAGTGTGGCCACAGCCCAGGGTCCAAGGGGACCAAGCCAAAGATGGACTGTGCCATGGAAGTGCCCAATAAAGGGGGTCCTTTAAGGCCATCTGGTGAATGGATTTGGATCTTATCTTCTAGTCTGAGCATGGGGAGACTAAGGGAGCAGAAGAATGACAGATCTGGGTGTGGCCACACATTTGGAGGCTCAATATTCATTCACCTATGAAATATTTATGGAGCACCTACTATGTGCCAAGCAATGTTCAAGGGCCATAGGTTACATCACTGAACAAAACAGACTCCTGACCATTCAGAGTGTATATTCTCATCAGGAGGAGACAGACAACAAACAAAAATATTAAAGGCGTAAATTATATTCAAAGGCAAAAAGGTAAAAAAGATAAAAGGCAGGGTAAGGGAGATGAGATGTGCAATTTTAAATGGAGTGGTCAGAGTAGGCCTCCTTGAGGTGACATTTGAGAAAAGACTTAAAGGAGAGAGGGAGACAGCCATGCAGGTATCTGGCAGATGAGCATTCTAACAAAGGGAACAGCCAGTGGCTGGGTCTGCAAGACAATGATGGGCGCAAACCAATGGAGGCTGTGGGAATGGAGAGAGACCTCGGAAGCAAAATCGGCAGGACTTGGAGCCTGCCTGCATGTTGGAGATATGCAACTCCTCTGGTCCTATTGTGTCCTGAAGTCCCCATTTCAAGGCTGACAAGCTCACTAGACATGCCTCTTCTCAGGTAGGTAGTGAGAAAGCTCAGCACATTGTATCCTGGATGCTCCCCCGCTGAGCACACATATCACCGCAGTCCCCAGCCTCTTAGCTCCTTATCATCAGTGACTTTCCCTCCAGGCCAGCACTCTACTCTCATGCCCACAACCAAGTCCTGTCAGCTCCCCAACCTCTCAAACTCACTGATGCCTTCATTTCATCTTTAGCTACTGTTATGTGTTGAATTGCTTCCCTCCATAAAACTATGTTGAAGTCCTAACCCCTAGTACCTCAAAATGTGACCTGATTTGAAAATAGAATCTTTACAGAGGTAATCAAGTTAAACTGAGGTCACTGGGATGGGCCCTAATCCAATATGACTGGCATCCCTACAAAAAAGAGAAATTTGGACACAGAAACAGACAGAAAGGGAAGACAATGTGAAGATGGGTGATTGGAGTAATGCATCCCAAAGCCAAGAAGGCCAAAGACTGCCGGCAAGCCAGAAGCCAGGAAGAGTCAAGGAAGGGTTCCCTTGCAGGTTTCAGAGGGAAAATGGCTCTGACACCTTGATTTCGAACTTGTAGTCTCCCAGAATGTGAGACCGGACATTTCTGTTGTTGTAGGCCACCCAGTAGGTGGCACTTTGTCACGGCAGCCCTAGACACTGCACAGCTCTGACACCTTGTTCTCATCTCTCCCTACCCAACCCACCCCAGACATCTCCACAGGGACCTCCAGGCCACTGACCCTTGGCCCTTTGTATCTTCACTTCTTTCTTTCCTGACTCAGTTTGGATTCCATGATCTTTCACCACGTGCAGTTTCTTGCTAGCGTCCTCACTGTTCTTCCATCATTCCTGCCCGTCTTAACCTCAGTCTAGAAGAAAGCAACAGTGCTTCCTCTGAGTCTTCACCTCAGCACCTGTGGGTGCTGCTGGAGCTCACACATCGTGACTAGGGACATTACAAGTTCATGGTCACCAGCCTCACCTGAGCTTTTAGCCCTGCCTGGTCACCCTCCTGTACCTCCTTGGGTAACTTTCCCAGTTGCAGCAACCATCTCACACTTCCTTCCCACCAGCCTCCTGGCTCCACTCTCAGCAGCAGAGATTAGAAACCATCTGAACTCTCTGAATCCCCTCACGTCCCACCTTTACCTCCACACCCATCCTCAGCTCCTTCCCTCCTGTTGTAGGGGGTCATTCCTCCTCTTCCCTTACCTCCCTGCTCCCAGGCCCGCTTCCTTTCACCACCGCCCTTCCCCAAGGAGTCTCACTCGAGTTACCCAGTCTCTTTCACTATAGGCCCCCTCCATCAGCCTACACACATGCTCAAGTCTCCAATGCATTAAAAATAAACAAATAAATAAAACTCTCTCTGTATCCCAATTACCTCTCTCCCATCACATTACAGTTTTTTGAAAAAGCTGTCTCTAATCCCTTACCTTTTGTGCCCAGGTATAACCTTTTCTACGAGATTATGGAGGAAGAAGCCATATTACAGTGGATTAAGGAGAAAGTGGGAAGTAAAGAAATTGAATCAGCAATTATACACAACTCTCATGCTCCATCCCTCTTAAGCTTGGTCAGGCTCTCCAACTCTGAAGGCCCTACTTCCCTCTGGCTCCCTCCCTGCAGTTCCTCCTGTGGATCCCCTGTGGGCCCTGCAGAAGCCAAGGAGAGGAAAGGCCCCAGAATCACAAGCCATCTGTCCCTCAGCCTGTGTCCTCTCTCCTGGTTCTGGGCTGCAGATCCTGTTCTCCCCAAGGGATTCTGACCCCAGCTCAGTTTCCCTCCACACTACCCCTGCCATCATCCTGGAGACCCCGGGTGGCGCCTTAATGAGGAGCTCATCCTAGGACCCCTGGAGCTGGTGATGCCACCTTGCTGAACCATTCCCTCAGCACCAGTCACCAATGCTTATTCCACATGATCATCCCACCCTGGCCACAGCAGGCTGGATCAGGATGGGATGCTGAGCCAAAGATCAACAGTCTGCAAGTAGCCTGGCCCTAAGGCTCTGGGGACCAATGACACTCAGAGAGCTGTTGATGGTAGAAGACACTTAAGTGGAGTTGCTCAGAGAAAAGGCAATAAGCAGAAGCTGACAGTGGGGAGATGCAAAAACCCTGAACTAGTCACAGAGAGAATGGGGAGAAGTCAGGCAGTTGCTGGTAGCAAGACACCTGAGTCACGACCACAGCCTCCTGGAGTGTTAGATGCTTCATGACCTTCTGCGGTTGAGAGGCCTGGCTGGGCAGCTGCTGAGAGGGTTTCCTGTCTCTCCTAATATCCCTCAAATCTCCATCCTCCACTCTGGGCAACTTACCTTGGAAAGCAAAAAAGTTCGAAGTTTTGACCATAGCCTTCTGGCCCTGTGGTCCCCTCATTCCTGCTCTAAGAAGCCCTTATTGAGGCCTCCAGTCTCCCAACTCCAGCTCTCCCAATATCTCAGCCCCTCCTGCCTGCACTCAGCCAAGCATCACATCAACACTCTCACATTGCTGTGCCCACCTTTCCACATTAGCCCGAAAGAGCCCTAACCATGTGCTTTCCTGGTGACTGGACACCGAGGATACTGGACACAACAGAGAAGACCTTAAAATCCAGTGGGGGACCCAATTCACTCAACTCTTCACTTAGTCTACCACTGCCCATGATCCTGCTCTGGTTCCTGGCAACCCTGGCTACCACTGCAATCTTCACCTTTCTCCTCATGCCCCTGACCTGACCGTGGCGAATCTGAGAGTCTACGGCCAAGGTGAGATAGAAAAGCAGCAGCAAGGGGTAAAAACGAAAGACCCGGAGGGGAGATGTGGGATTGAGGTTATGTTTTTTAGGCAAAAGCATGTTTGTAAGATGAGTCATTAATAATGAGAGCAATTAACATTTGCAGTCATCCCTTGGTATCCTCAGGGAATTAGTTCCAGAGCTCCCCTAGACTTTTTTACCAAAATCTGCAGATGCTCAAGTCCCTTACACAGGATGTATAGTACAGTCAGCCCTCTGTATCCACGGGTTCTGCATCCACAGATGTGCAGATCTGACTGTATATAGGCCCAGGTGTGTATATATAATCTAAGAATCCTATACACCTATTCCTACATTTAATCCTTAAAACAGCCCTATGAGGTAACCACTATATTCCGTTTTACAGATGAGAACACTGAGGCACGAGCAGTAATTTGCTAATTAACTGGCCAAATCAGGATTCAAATCGAGGTAGTCTGGTGCCCCAAGACCATGATCTTAACTACTACACCATAATGCAGGCATACCTCAGAGATAACGTGGATTCAGTTCCAGACCACCTCAACAAAACGAAGATCTCAATAAAGCAAGTCACACAAAATTTTCAGTTTCCCACTGTATACAAAAGTTATGGTTACACTCTACTGTGGTCTATTAAAAGTGCAATAAATAGCATTATGTCTAAAAAACAATGTACATACTTTAAAAATATTTTATTGCTAAAAAATGCTAACCATCATCTGAGCCATCAAAGAATTAAAGCAGTAACATCAAAGATCACTGATCATAGATCCATATAACAAGTGTAATAATGAAAAAATCTGAGATATTGTGAGAATTATGGAAATGTGATACAGAGAAACGAAGTAAGCAAATGCTGTTGGAGAAATGGCGCCGACAGACTTGTTCAATGCAGATTTGCAACAAACTCTCACTTTGTAAAAAACGCAGTTTCTGAGCAGTGCAATAAAATGAGATAGGTCTGTATATGCTGCATATAGAACAAAATGTGTGACCTAGTAGAGTCCTTAAACCAGCCCCAAACAGGCAGCAGACAGCCACCCAGGGGTCTAGACACAGTCAGGGAGGTTACTGCTTGAGGCTTCTTATTGACTCCAGATCCTCCCAGCACTAACCTGAGCCTACCCTTCCTGTCTCCAGCCTGTGAGCTCCTGGGGTGACTCCCACACTCTTAATCCCACCTCCACACAGTAGGCCAAGCAGAGGCTCATCAGACAAATGATTTATTTCCCAGCCCACTCCCTGGACCTCTGTCAGAAGGTAGATCAGAGATACAGCAGGTATAAGGCAGAGTAAGCCCCTCTTAAGCAATCCAGAACCCAGGAGAGACCCCACAGCTGTCACTCTTCACAGCAGTCCCTTTCTACAAGCCAGACGGAAGTTGAAGCAGGACTGGGAGGCCCAGTTCTGCAGACTCAAGTCTTGTTCAAGATGTTGAGCAGTTACAGAGTCTTCTCAAAGAAGGCATAGCCATCTTACACCCACAGGCCTGGAGAAAAGCTTGCTCAGCAGGTCCTCAGAACCGGGAGTCTCGAGCCCTTCTTCGGGGTCGGGCGCCACAGCTGGAGCTAGGTGTGGGGCCCAGGCCAGGGGGTGCCCCTGGGGGCTGGTAGCCACATTCACTGGGGTCCAGGGGGTCCCGGCTGAGCAATACCCACACCGCAGGCACATGGCGGCGAACCGTGAGGGGATCTAGGCCTGTGTTAGGTGAGGTTGGCACCCAGCTGTCCTCGGTCTGCAGGAAGCGCAGCTTGGTAAGCTGGTGAAGGCCTGGAACCCGCCGTTTGACAATCTCAGCACAGCTGACAGCCTTGCCTGCAGCTCGGCCAGAACCTGAGAACACCACATGCCTTGCGCTGCCACCTTCCAACCGACCCAGCGCCAGCCCCAGAAGGTTGCGAATTTTGCTGCCATCTCGGACCCGCATCTCCAAGGTATCAGGAGGTAGCTGGGGCATCGGGGAAGATGCTGGGAGTTCCACAGAGCCAGCTTTCCGGTAGTGCTCCATCCCGCTTGTTGTCTGTTGCTGTGTCGTGGCTGAATCTCGCTGCTCACTGCACGGAAGCAGCAGAGGAATGCTAGGCAATGTGCACCAGGCCACCATCACCCTGGCCTCTAAGACTTGGCCCTGCTCCTCATCCCAGACTCCCCAGGAAAAAGGACCATATCTCCTCACCCTGCTAAGGTGCTGTACCCCATTCCTTTGGACAGGGCCATAACCCTCTCCGACCCCGGAGTCCCTGAGACAGGATCAAATTCCCCACACTGGCCACGCCCCCTCATCCCAAACTCCCTAGGACTGGGGATGAACTTCCCTCCGCTGGGGCTCCTTGGGACAGGGTCCGGGGCTCACCCTGGATTCCCTGAGAACAAGACTGCGTGTTCCTCACCCTGGGCTCTCCGAGGGGTAACAGGGACCAGGCCCTCTCACTTCGTGCGCCCAGAGGACAGGGTCAAGCCCCTACACCCCAAGCTCCCTGAGACAGAGCCAAAAGTCCTCATCCAAAAGTTCCTCAAGGACAGAGCTGACTCTCTCCTCAACTCCGGGACCACGAGGGCAGGGCCTAGCACGCCTCACTCGGAGATTCCCAGGGTCGATCCCCCAACCCAGGTCGCTCAGAAACTCGGGAGCAGAGGCCTGATGTCGAGGGCTGCCCGGGCTACTCCCGGCGTCAGGTCCACTGCCGCGGGCCGCCCTCAGTGTCCTGCCTGCCGCAGCAGCCCGGCAGCCTGCCGCCCCTCTCCTCCCCCGCCCGCCCCGCCAACTCCATGCGCCCCCACCCCGCCGAGTTCCAGCTCTCACCGCCGCGGCCACGCACCCCTCAAGCTCGATCTGAAGCCAAGATGGCGCGAGCCGGGAGCGCGCCGGGGCTGCGGGGGCGCGCACGCCGGCGGGGCGGGGCCGGGGCGTCCGGGAGCGAGCCGAGCCGGGACGCGCGGGGCCGGAGCGCACGGTGGTCTCCCGCGTTCGCCCCGGCAAGGAGCACTCATAACGGGGCGGAGAGAGCCCTGAGGAGGAGATGAGCGGCCGTCTGGGGAGTCCCGCGTACTAAGGACGCGGAGGATTTGGCCTTTGGAAGATGACAGGGCGAGCCGCAAGAGCAGAGGCGGAGCCCCGGGCTTCACTTTGGGAAGGATCAAGAGGTTCCGTTTGGAGGGGCTGCTGCTGGAGGGGCGAGTTCTGAGCTTCCACCTCATACTGTGGGCACTGGCGAACCACGGCGGGGGGGTGGTTTTCATCAGACGCAAGTCAAATCAGTTCCTGTGCACAGCTCGCTCTGGCTGCAGCGCAGGGTGTGGCGCGGCAGTGGGAGCCCGGCCGCAGCCGCTGGTGACTGCTGGTGACTCCTGGCCACTAGGTCCCTGGGGGCGTGCCCACGGAGACTTGCCCGCGTATAATAGGCGCTCAAATGGTTGTCACATCATTTGTTGAAAGGATGAACCAGAGAAATAGCAGTGGGAATGGGGAAAAGTAGAGTAAGTTGGAAGATACCAGGAGGTAGGTTTGACGACTGTTCGGACGGAGGAGGGAAGAGTCTAGGATAACTCCCAGGTTCAGATAAGCTGCATCTGAGATGCCAATGAGACCATGCCGGTGGGGTGGCGGGCAGGCAGTTGGAAAGGTCTTGGAGCCACAGCCCTCCCTGAGACCACAAGAGGGCAGCAAACACTTGGTGGAGTGAGATGCCAGTCAGTTTCTCTGATCTTTAACATGCTCCCTCTCTCCTTTCCAACCACACCACCCTTACCCCTACCCCGAAATACCCCCTGCATCCAAACCTTATAGGCTCCCTTCTTGGTTAATAGCACCAAGTAGGCTCCCAAGAGAGAAACTTCAGGCTCCTCTCTGACTTTGCATATGCTGGGCTCCCTTGGCTCTCAAAGACACTGCATGTCACCCTCCAGGACTACGTCCCACATCCCTTTTTCTTCTGTGCCCCAAAGAACCCTCGTGCCACCTGGTTCCCTTCCCTTTTCCTTGACTGTCTCCCCGGCTATCCCGTACAGGCCAGGGATCAGGTGGACTCTACCTGTGTCCTCCCCACCTGGCATGGCATCTGACAGAGTGTACTTGGTAAATGTGGGATGAATGGATACACAAATGTTCCACTCACATCAAGCAAATGACAGCGTTCATCCTGAGAGCTCTACATCGTCCAGAAAGCCAGACTAGGATGAGTATAGCTCTTGATCCAAACTCTAGGAAAGCAGACAACTCGCTTCCATCACCCTCATCACCACCACCATCCCCATCCTAGACCAGGAAGCTGGCACACTCCTCAGTGGTCTCCACAGTTTATTGTCACTGGAATAGGGCACTGATGAGGGGAGGGGGTGCAAATAGCAAATCTCAAGTAGCCAGACCTCTGACCTCAGAGCTCTACCTGAGTGCAGACATGTAGGTCATGAATCCAATAAATACAGAACTGCCTCTGCTCTGCCCTGTTACAAGGCCCTGGTGCACCCTGGGATGGGCAGCAGCCATCACTCCTCTGCTGGCTTCACTTGCTTGGCAGCCTCTAGCTGGCAGAGTAGTTCATCCCACTGCACAAATTGCTTGGAGAGAAGCATTGTCTGGTTGAAGGTCAAGGTGAGAACAGAAATCTGAGAGACAGAGTGGAGAGATTTTTTGAATCTGCCAAAAGGGTGGGGGAGCAGAGGAACAGCCAGGCTGGTTGGGTTGGGATGAGAGAGACAGAGCTAGAGATGGAATATAAGGACGGGGCTCTGGACCGCACTCCTCAGGGACCTGGCTGAGCAGAAAGGATACAGTCTTGTTGTATTCCTCCAGGAGAGCCTTGGACTCCTCAGTGATCTCCACACACTGGTCCTGTGGAGCCAAGGTGTGGCAGAGAAAGGTGTTGGACAAAGCCCCCAACCCCCTTTTCCCTCCTCATCAGGAACCCTTGCTCCCCATAGAGCCTAGAAAAGGTAATGTTTAACCCCAGAGCCCAAAGGAGCAAATTCTAAAGGGGCACGTTCAGGCTGCAAGATGTGTAGCCTACCTTGCAGGCCTAAGGCTGATAGATTAAGGAGCGGACCACACATTTTAGGAAATATTCCTGCTGGTATATGTCTCCTCCTTCCCTGCCCCTTATTTCTGAAACCTCTTTGAACTTTACACTATGGCCTGGGAAGAGTGAAAAAACAGCTCCTCCACCCATGGTCAAGGACACATCATCCCCAGGAATTCTGTGGTATCTCCCAACATGAACCTTCTGGTGTCTCAGGATAGCCCCACTCTGGGAGGCAGGAGACCTGGATGTGGTGCTAGCCCAAGTCCCTTCCCGTCTCGAAGGCAGATCAAAAACAAAGAATAAACCCTTAATTTCCCCTGCAGCTGACATCGGGGGAGTCTGAGGCTGCTTCCCCAGGAGGCAGGAGTGGGGACTAGGAGCCTCACCACCTCTACTTTCCCTTCCAGTCCTCTCCCCTCCCATACCTGCTGCTGGATGTGGATCTGGGCCAAGCGCTGCAGGCGGGCGGCATGCTCAGGAACGGCTGTAAAACACAACGCACACTGCCCGATGATGCTTGTGCCTTCCCCCGGGACTGCTCAATAGTCTATTAGGTCTTCGGCAGGATTAGAGTATTGAGTGGAGAAGCTAAACAAACGCTAGGCTTCATCGACCACTGCAGCTGGAGGTGGTAGTGGGGCTCCCTGCCCACCCCGGTCTTACTGTAGGACCCAAAGGGGAGGGGAAGATACAGGCCCCTAGAAGAAGACAAAACCTCGGGTGCCCAGAGTTGCCCCGTATGCCCACCCCCGTGCTGGGAGCAAGGCCAGGTAAAGAAAGCTTTTATTATCATGGGATCTGTTCCTTTGTTCTCACCCCAGCAGGACCAGGTCTGCCTGGCGCTGGGAACAGGGAGCCTGCAGGTGGGCTGAGGATGAATGCCAGGTCCCTAAGCTGGCCACCTGGAATCCAACACCCAGAGCCTCAGCCACCAGGCTGGGCCTACAGCTTAAGGCTGTCAGATGCTCAGCAGGAAGCTGATCGGGGTAGGGAGGGGGAGCTGGGAAAAACACCTCCAGAGACAGACAAGATGGATATCTGGATTCAATTAAAGCCACTGTCTGCTTGTCAAAACCCAGACCTAAAGACTGCACTCAGCAGTGTGGCAGGAAGAATTCACACACCTGGCAGGGACTCTGACAATAAAATCTGGGCTCTGCAGCACCCTGAAGGATGGAGGGGTGGGGCAGAAGGAATCCTCAGAGTTGAGGGCTGCTGGGCTTATATGAGTGTCCTTAGGGCCAAACTGCCTGAGGTTCTGAACCTGAGCTCTCCGCCCTCCCATGCTCCCAATTTTAACCCCAATGCAGGGGGCAAGTACCCCCAGGGTGAGGGTAAAGACAAGGAGCAGAGCTAGCCTGAGCCCAGGAAAGTCCTGCCCATCCACCAACCTCCCCAAGTAGAGTAGTGGGGCTGCAGCCCCAGAGAGGTACCTTTGATGTGAGTGCTGTCCAGCATGGGCACCAAAGCCTCCACCTGCTCCAGGAGTGCAACCTGGGAGAGGATAAACTGCTCCTCTGAAGCATAAACAGACAAGACAGTGACAGTGAGACGAGACTGGGCATGGCCACTCCCATGCAAAGGGCCAAGGACCTGGTAGGGGAGAAGGCTGGGTCCTGGAGCTCGGGGCAGCTACTCTGCCCACTGCCCCCCCACTTCCAGATACACAGTCCCCCATTCTGCCTCCACCTCTCCTGGATGCCTCTGGTCTGACCTATCTTGAGCCCAAGGGGCCTCTAAGTTCCTCCAAATCCCATCCTTCTCCAAGTTTTAACTCTAAGGCCTCTTCCTCTAGTGTCCTCTCAACAAACTCAAAAAGCCCCTCTGAGGCCACAGGAGACAAAGTACTTCAGGCTTGGCTCCTGGGAAGGTCTGAAAGAGGAGACATGTGGAAGATTCCAGGTTGATTCTGCTCAGTGGATCTGAAAGGAACAGACAATTACAAGTTCTTGGAGAACTGGGGCAGTAACATGACAGTCTGGTGAGGAAAGCAGGACCTGGGCTGGCCCTGTGCACAGGGGGTTTCAATGGTTGCAGAGCAGGAAGGGCATTCAAGAAGGGAGGACTATATGTCAAACATTCGAAGGCAAGAATGCTTGTCAATTAGTAGAAGGAAAAGAATTCAATTGGCTGAACTGGAGCAAGGAGAGCACAGGAAACAGCTGGATGGGAGGGACCACCCAGTAGACTATAGACGGCTTTGAATGGCAGGATAAGGAAATAGGAATTTATCCTAGCAAGGAGAGAGACACTGAGGTTCCAAGGTAGACATAGTGGCACATTGGAAATATGTTTTGGGAAGATGATATTGGACCATATGCATGTAGGGGAAGACTAGGGTCAAGAAGAGGACTTAGGAGACTGCAGCTGTTCATGTACAAGCACATAAGCACTGAGGCAGTGGCCACAGGGAGGGATGAGAGGCTGGACTCAAGAATCAGTGAGGAGACCTCCTGAACTTGGTGCCTGAGCCACAGCAAAGGCTCAGGGATGTTCTGGTTCACCACTGTATACCTCACACCTGGGACAGTCTGGATTACAGTAGATGATCATTAAAAATCATTAAACATCTTTTGAATGCATGAACAAACACAGGTGCCTGGCAAACTGTTTCTTGTGGAGTGGCTGACTAACTGATTAGCAGACACTGCTAAGATAATAGTTCCTGCCTAGAACTCTGAAATCCCGGCGCTTTCCCACCTGAAACAAAGATGGTGAAACTCATGCCTACATCCGCACCTCTCCCAAATGCAATGCTCTCTGCTCTCTGCTACCACCCTTTCCTAGAAGCTCCTCTGTTTACTGAGCAGAAGTAAGGAAGGTTCTGAAGGAAAATCCTAGAGGCAAGCCACAGTACACTAGAGTAGCCCCACTGTGGCTGGCACCATGGCCTGCAGCTGGCTCCAAAGTATACTGCACCCAGTGCCTACTAGAGGACCACAGGACCAACCCTGGCCATGGCCCAGGGCCAGGCCAGAATTCCAGAGAGCAGCTTCCAGGGCTGTATCCATGAGAGGACTGGCAGGGAGGCCATCTCTGTGCCAACGTCCCCCACAATCCCCATCCCCAGATGCATGTGCACATACTGTCCAGCACTACCTGCTAAGATGAACTGCAGCTTGGAGGCATCAGGTATGGCAATGCGGTCAATGTATTCAGGATCCAGGTATTTGATTAGGTCTTCAACTAGAAAAGTAGCAAGATGGAAAATGGAGTAAGGTTGTGGAGCGGGGATCTGTCTTATGAAGGGTATTAGGGGAAGGGTCAGCCTTGGGGATAGCCTTGCATGTGAAGCTGACACCCACAGTGGCCATCAGCAGGCCTTCGCCAGGCCCCGCTCCCCACTTCTCTGTCTCTCCCCTCTGACCACCTGACGGCCAACCTCAAACTTTAAAGCTAGGAATACAATGGCCTCCACCACCCTGGGGTACTCAGCATTCCTGCTGATCTATCTTCAAGGGAGGAAGACACCTTGCCCCTCAGCGCCACCAAGACATGCCAGAGCTTTATCTGATTTCTAGTTACTGAACAGGCTTCTATCTCTGACATAATCAAACAGCCCTGGCTCAGCCAAGGCTGGGGCTCTCAGTGCCTAATTTCCTTCCTGCCTCTGAACTTGCCTGTGGAAATTCCATACCCCTCCTCCTCCTTCACCAAGGGGAGCTTTCAGGCAGAGCTCTTATTCCTTAACTTAGACACTGTCATGGACTTGAGGAGTTTAACCACAAAGTACACCTCAATTCACCATTTCATCCCAAAGGGTGACTCCAGTGACCTACTGGGCTGAAGGGCCTGGGCAGGGAACCAGGAAGTATAGGCTTGGGAAGGAAGGCAGGCTGGCACCTCATGGAAGCACTTACTCTTTTTGTACAGAATCTTCACCCTCTCCCTCTTGCTGGCAATGTTCCCCAAAGCCACCTGCACCTTGACCAGGCCATCAGCCACCTATAAGGGGAGTGGAAGTTAATTCCAAGATCTACCACTTGGCTCAAAGCTTGGAAGTGGTAAAGAACCATCATTCCCTCAGACTCCAAAACCTCCTTATCAGCAATTATCCCCTTCTCTTATATTAAGAGATGCAATCCCTCCTCAATGTGAATGGGGAAATAATCATGTACTCCTTGGGGAGTTTCGAGTGTGACTGGGGAGGTAATGAACTACTTTAGAGTTTATGCGGCACTAGCATATAGTATATATTCCCTGATTCCTTCCTCTTGGCCGAACCTAAGGGCAGAGAGCGAAGAATTCCAGTACTAAAGGGCTGAATAGAGGGAGAGGCTACGGAAGTGAGCGATCTCATACAGGTTTTAGGTTAGAGGATAAAGATAGCCAATATTCAAGGGTCAAATATATGGGGAGGCAAACAGGACTGTGCAGAAGTAGCCAGAGAGGAAGGGGGAAAATCAGGACAATCTGTGTCATATATGTCAAAGGGAGAGAATGTTTTGAGAAGTCAGTTCTCAAATGAGACAAAATTTGTTAGTGACAACTAATTCCATAAGAAGTCTACAAACAGACATCATTACCTCTGAGGCACTTAACTCCAGGGTATGCCTGACACTCCACCTTCAGTAAAAGGTCGCTCCACAGTAAAAAGGAAATGTAAGGAAAACTGAGCTACAAGTTGTCAAAATTCAGTCACTGGTGTGAAGGAGTGCCAGTCCATATCTGAATACCCAGTATTCAATTCCTTCCCCTCCTAATCCTGGCCCTCATAGACCTCATCTCTAACCCCTGGAGCCTTCCTTATCCACATCTGGCCTGCCTCTTTTGGAGCCCCATGGACCTCTCTTTGCACAATTCATTTAGCAATTAATTACGCAGGGCTCCACAATGGCCTTTCCATTGTGGGCTTCAGTTCTTACTGAAACTCTCATTAATCAGCTTCGGAGTGTGTCAGGTCTCCCCAACTATCCCACAAAGGTAAAGGCGGGGTCTTCACAGCGAGCCCACTTCAAGCCCACAGTGCCCTCCATGGGAATGGACCCCGAAGGTCCGATAAGCTCCTGGAGGTCTCGGACCCTTATTATTTCAAAGGCCGGGCTGCGGGCAACGGGGCTGGAGCGGTAGCATCCTTCCGGAGGACCGGGCCAGTACACTGCTCTTGCTTTGCCCCAGAGAGGGACTACTGGGCCCCAGACCGCTCACCTTCCGCGAGCCGCGCGACCCGCCTGGCCCGTACACCCAGCGCTCCAGCTCCTCCAGACGGGCCTGTAGCCGCTGCACATCGGTCACAGCCGCCATAACTCCCGCCGCCCCGCCTCAGCCGGGGAACAGCCAGAGGGCGGGACTTCCGTCCAAATAGAGAAGGCGGGCCAATCCCAGTGGATGGGCTCCCCTCCATACAGGAAGTGACGTCACGACAAGCCCTTCGGTACTCGGAAGTAGCAGGCAGAGCTGACGAAAGGTGTCCAAAGCTACCTGGTAACCTAGGCGACGGCTACCGGTCAGGCCCCACCCTAACATCCAGACCCTGCTGGTCAAGGCAACCTTTGCCTTTGTACATCTAATTCCAGAGGACCAGAGGGGTTTCCCTACCCCATTCCCCGAGGTTGCATATATAAATATACCCATTATTTTAAGACTGGTCCATTCCCATAGACCAGTAGGAGGCCCCGTGAGATGCCACAATCTTCTGGAGTCTTCTAAGCTTCAAGAGATTAAGTGTCGTACCTAAGGGTACTCAACACTGTAGTGGCAGAATCGGGATTTGAACTCAGGCAGTCTGATTCATGAGACTGAGCTCCCCTACTCATGGACCTTTGCTATAGTGTCTTCCTCTCTGAGAACTTCTGGCCCAACGCAGCCTATGTATTACCACATAATTCCTCCTCAGCCCATAGACCGAAACAAGGAGAGGAGGCACTGGAGAGAGAGTGACCGCAGCTTTATTATCCAGATGTGACCCGAGGGACATTGCCTTCACAAGATCCAAACCCAACCCTTCACCTGGCTCCCGAAGAGAAGCAGATCTGACTCGAAGAGGTGGGGTCCTGGAGATGACATTGACACGAAGGAGTACATGAGGAGATGAGGGGGTTACTGGGGGCAGAATTCTTTGGTAGATGCTGCTGGAGTTGACCAGGGAGGGGTGCTCTCCCTTTTCAATGAGGTAGATGTAACATCAAAAGAAATCTCTTTGGCTCTAAGTCCACATGGCATTGGGGGGGTCACCTCCCAGGGCTGGATCCTAGAGTGGGCACCCTGGAAGAATGGGCCAGGGGGTGTGTCCTCTCCCCTCAGCAATGGGGCTGGTACTCTTAATTTCTCTCTCAGGGTGAGACGCTGGAAGGGGGCCCTGTTGGGGGTGGGGGTGCAGGGTTGGTTGGGCCCTGGGAAGCTGGCACAGGCTGGCGACGGGCAAAGAGGACACCTGGCAAAGGGGTGAGGGGCAAAGAGGGCAAACACAAGCAGGAAAATGTGAGTCAAAGAAGCAGAAGAGGGAAACAAAAGTCAGTTTCCTTATTGCTAGAACACCACACACATAGTCCTGCCACAATCAACAAGGACAAGCCCCTGAGTCAGTCAGAGACTCTGGTGCCAACATAGATACCCTTGAACAGGTAAACAAGAAATATTTACAAAGATACATAGGCCCATGACAAGACATTCCATGGTACCCATGCCAGTGAGGTCATGCCTTGGACCCCATGCCATGTAGACACTCCCTTTAACCATGCCAGTATAGCAGTCTCCTGAACACCATGTTACCCATGCAAGTGTGGATATCCCTGAACCTCATGCTAATAGAGAAAGTCTAAAATCCCCATGCCAGTGTAAATGCCCCTGACCTCATGCCAATATAGACAGCCTGCAGTACCCATACCAGTGTAGACCACCCCGTTGATCTCTAGGGCCATGTTGATACTGCTGATACCACTGCCTGCCAGACTGAGAGGCCCATCCAGCTGCTCTTCTGTCCAGGAGGGGGCAGGGGAGTCACATTTTGGGGAATCAGACTTCAGACTTACAAGCTCCCCCCTCCATCCCTATAGACAGCCCCCATTCCACTTCAGCCCACCTGTAATCATACAGTTGTCTATTGAGGGGTCTATCTGCCCCACCTCCAGAGCCTATCAGGTGATGGGTCTGTATTCCCATTGCACAGGCCCTAAGCCCTCTCAAGAATAGGCCCTTCCTCACCCCTTAGGGGAACCTTGCCACGGGGCAGGAAACTGGGGGGTGCACTGTGTCGAGGCGGGTCCACAGGCCCCATCAGCACAGCCCTCTTCTCTGGGGGCTCCTCTGGTGCCACCTTCTCCCGTGCAGGTCCAAAGGCCAGGCCCACAGGCAGTGCCAGTCGAGAGGTTGGAATTCCACTCTCCTCTGGAAGAACAGGTCATTTAGCTCCCCTGGCCCAGCCAACTCTGTCTCTGAATTTGGTTCTCCCCACAGGCCTGGGACCAAGGGAGGTCACCGAAGTTCAAGCACCAAGTTCAATGTCCCCTTCCATCCAGAGTCTCAGCTTAGAGGCTCTGAAGCTGGAGAGCGCAAAAGGCCAATATATCTGACTAGGTTGGTCCAAGACAATTTGGGGAATTTCCTTGCTCTTGGTTGTTAAATAATCCAGGGAAAACAAGAAGCAAATCCACATGCAGTTAGAAGCCCAGGGTGAACAGGTGTGGAATGAAGCTGCTCTGGATAAAAGACTTTTTCCTGAGCTTCAGCCCCACACCACAGTAACCCCTATCCCACATCTCCCAAGGCTTCACTGATCCCTCTCCCCTCACACCTTTCTTGATGGGGCTTGGGCTCAGCTGCGCGCAGGCGTGCACTGGCAGGCCGGAGGCGGAGCCCTGAGCAGAGCGGAGACCGGGCGGTGGGCGGTGGCGTGAGACTGCCGAACGGACGACCAACAGGGGAGGTAAGG